AAGTGTCCTCATTGTTATTCAAGTGTCCTCATTGTTATTCAAGTGTCCTCATTGTTATTCAAGTGTCCTCATTGTTATTCAAGTGTCCTCATTGTTATTCAAGTGTCCTCATTGTTTGTTATTCAAGTGTCCTCATTGTTATTCAAGTGTCCTCATTGGTATTCAAGTGTCCTCATTGTTATTCAAGTGTCCTCATTGTTATTCAAGTGTCCTCATTGTTATTCAAGTGTCCTCATTGTTATTCAAGTGTCCTCATTGTTATTCAAGTGTCCTCATTGTTATTCAAGTGTCCTCATTGTTATTCAAGTGTCCTCATTGTTTGTTATTCAAGTGTCCTCATTGTTTGTTATTCAAGTGTCCTCATTGTTATTCAAGTGTCCTCATTGTTTGTTATTCAAGTGTCCTCATTGTTTGTTATTCAAGTGTCCTCATTGTTATTCAAGTGTCCTCATTGTTATTCAAGTGTCCTCATTGTTATTCAAGTGTCCTCATTGTTGTTCAAGTGTCCTCATTGTTATTCAAGTGTCCTCATTGTTATTCAAGTGTCCTCATTGTTTGTTATTCAAGTGTCCTCATTGTTATTTATTCAAGTGTCCTCATTGTTATTCAAGTGTCCTCATTGTTTGTTATTCAAGTGTCCTCATTGTTATTCAAGTGTCCTCATTGTTATTCAAGTGTCCTCATTGTTATTCAAGTGTCCTCATTGTTATTCAAGTGTCCTCATTGTTATTCAAGTGTCCTCATTGTTATTCAAGTGTCCTCATTGTTATTCAAGTGTCCTCATTGTTATTCAAGTGTCCTCATTGTTATTCAAGTGTCCTCATTGTTTGTTATTCAAGTGTCCTCATTGTTATTCAAGTGTCCTCATTGTTATTCAAGTGTCCTCATTGTTATTCAAGTGTCCTCATTGTTATTCAAGTGTCCTCATTGTTTGTTATTCAAGTGTCCTCATTGTTATTCAAGTGTCCTCATTGTTTGTTATTCAAGTGTCCTCATTGTTATTCAAGTGTCATTGTTATTCAAGTGTCCTCATTGTTTGTTATTCAAGTGTCCTCATTGTTTGTTATTCAAGTGTCCTCATTGTTATTCAAGTGTCCTCATTGTTTGTTATTCAAGTGTCCTCATTGTTATTCAAGTGTCCTCATTGTTATTCAAGTGTCCTCATTGTTATTCAAGTGTCCTCATTGTTATTCAAGTGTCCTCATTGTTGTTCAAGTGTCCTCATTGTTATTCAAGTGTCCTCATTGTTATTCAAGTGTCCTCATTGTTATTTATTCAAGTGTCCTCATTGTTATTCAAGTGTCCTCATTGTTTGTTATTCAAGTGTCCTCATTGTTATTCAAGTGTCCTCATTGTTTGTTATTCAAGTGTCCTCATTGTTATTCAAGTGTCCTCATTGTTATTCAAGTGTCCTCATTGTTATTCAAGTGTCCTCATTGTTTGTTATTCAAGTGTCCTCATTGTTATTCAAGTGTCCTCATTGGTATTCAAGTGTCCTCATTGTTATTCAAGTGTCCTCATTGTTATTCAAGTGTCCTCATTGTTATTCAAGTGTCCTCATTGTTTGTTATTCAAGTGTCCTCATTGTTTGTTATTCAAGTGTCCTCATTGTTATTCAAGTGTCCTCATTGGTATTCAAGTGTCCTCATTGTTATTCAAGTGTCCTAATTGTTATTCAAGTGTCCTCATTGTTATTCAAGTGTCCTCATTGTTATTCAAGTGTCCTCATTGTTATTCAAGTGTCCTCATTGTTATTCAAGTGTCCTCATTGTTTGTTATTCAAGTGTCTTCATTGTTTGTTATTCAAGTGTCCTCATTGTTATTCAAGTGTCCTCATTGTTTGTTATTCAAGTGTCCTCATTGTTATTCAAGTGTCCTCATTGTTATTCAAGTGTCCTCATTGTTATTCAAGTGTCCTCATTGTTATTCAAGTGTCCTCATTGGTATTCAAGTGTCCTCATTGTTATTCAAGTGTCCTCATTGTTATTCAAGTGTCCTCATTGTTATTTATTCAAGTGTCCTCATTGTTATTCAAGTGTCCTCATTGTTTGTTATTCAAGTGTCCTCATTGTTATTCAAGTGTCCTCATTGTTATTCAAGTGTCCTCATTGTTATTCAAGTGTCCTCATTGTTATTCAAGTGTCCTCATTGTTATTCAAGTGTCCTCATTGTTATTCAAGTGTCCTCATTGTTATTCAAGTGTCCTCATTGTTATTTATTCAAGTGTCCTCATTGTTATTGAAGTGTCCTCATTGTTTGTTATTCAAGTGTCCTCATTGTTATTCAAGTGTCCTCATTGTTATTCAAGTGTCCTCATTGTTATTCAAGTGTCGTCATTGTTATTCAAGTGTCCTCATTGTTATTCAAGTGTCCTCATTGTTATTCAAGTGTCCTCATTGTTATTCAAGTGTCCTCATTGTTATTCAAGTGTCCTCATTGTTATTCAAGTGTCCTCATTGTTTGTTATTCAAGTGTCCTCATTGTTATTCAAGTGTCCTCATTGTTATTCAAGTGTCCTCATTGTTATTCAAGTGTCCTCATTGTTATTCAAGTGTCCTCATTGTTTGTTATTCAAGTGTCCTCATTGTTATTCAAGTGTCCTCATTGTTTGTTATTCAAGTGTCCTCATTGTTATTCAAGTGTCATTGTTATTCAAGTGTCCTCATTGTTTGTTATTCAAGTGTCCTCATTGTTATTCAAGTGTCCTCATTGTTATTCAAGTGTCCTCATTGTTTGTTATTCAAGTGTCCTCATTGTTTGTTATTCAAGTGTCCGCATTGTTATTCAAGTGTCCTCATTTTTATTCAAGTGTCCTCATTGTTATTCAAGTGTCCTCATTGTTATTCAAGTGTCCTCATTGTTATTCAAGTGTCCTCATTGTTATTCAAGTGTCCTCATTGTTATTCAAGTGTCCTCATTGTTATTCAAGTGTCCTCGTTGTTATTCAAGTGTCCTCATTGTTATTCAAGTGTCCTCATTGTTATTCAAGTGTCCTCATTGTTATTCAAGTGTCCTCATTGTTATTCAAGTGTCCTCATTGTTATTCAAGTGTCCTCATTGTTATTCAAGTGTCCTCGTTGTTATTCAAGTGTCCTCATTGTTATTCAAGTGTCCTCATTGTTATTCAAGTGTCCTCATTGTTATTCAAGTGTCCTCATTGTTATTCAAGTGTCCTCATTGTAATTCAAGTGTCCTCATTGTTATTTATTCAAGTGTCCTCATTGTTATTCAAGTGTCCTCATTGTTTGTTATTCAAGTGTCCTCATTGTTATTCAAGTGTCCTCATTGTTATTCAAGTGTCCTCATTGTTATTCAAGTGTCCTCATTGTTATTCAAGTGTCCTCATTGTTATTCAAGTGTCCTCATTGTTATTCAAGTGTCCTCATTGTTATTCAAGTGTCCTCATTGTTATTCAAGTGTCCTCGTTGTTATTCAAGTGTCCTCATTGTTTGTTATTCAAGTGTCCTCATTGTTATTCAAGTGTCCTCATTGTTATTCAAGTGTCCTCATTGTTATTCAAGTGTCCTCATTGTTTGTTATTCAAGTGTCCTCATTGTTATTCAAGTGTCCTCATTGTTTGTTATTCAAGTGTCCTCATTGTTATTCAAGTGTCATTGTTATTCAAGTGTCCTCATTGTTTGTTATTCAAGTGTCCTCATTGTTATTCAAGTGTCCTCATTGTTATTCAAGTGTCCTCATTGTTATTCAAGTGTCCTCATTGTTATTCAAGTGTCCTCATTGTTTGTTATTCAAGTGTCCTCATTGTTATTCAAGTGTCCTCATTGTTATTCAAGTGTCCTCATTGTTATTCAAGTGTCCTCATTGTTATTCAAGTGTCCTCATTGTTATTCAAGTGTCCTCATTGTTATTCAAGTGTCCTCATTCTTATTCAAGTGTCCTCATTGTTTGTTATTCAAGTGTCCTCATTGTTATTCAAGTGTCCTCATTGGTATTCAAGTGTCCTCATTGTTATTCAAGTGTCCTCATTGTTATTCAAGTGTCCTCATTGTTATTCAAGTGTCCTCATTGTTATTCAAGTGTCCTCATTGTTATTCAAGTGTCCTCATTGTTATTCAAGTGTCCTCATTGTTATTCAAGTGTCCTCATTGTTTGTTATTCAAGTGTCTTCATTGTTTGTTATTCAAGTGTCCTCATTGTTATTCAAGTGTCCTCATTGTTTGTTATTCAAGTGTCCTCATTGTTATTCAAGTGTCCTCATTGTTATTCAAGTGTCCTCATTGTTATTCAAGTGTCCTCATTGTTTGTTATTCAAGTGTCCTCATTGTTATTCAAGTGTCCTCATTGTTATTCAAGTGTCCTCATTGTTATTCAAGTGTCCTCATTGTTATTCAAGTGTCCTCATTGTTATTCAAGTGTCCTCATTGTTATTCAAGTGTCCTCATTGTTATTCAAGTGTCCTCATTGTTATTCAAGTGTCCTCATTGTTATTCAAGTGTCCTCATTGTTTGTTATTCAAGTGTCCTCATTGTTATTCAAGTGTCCTCATTGTTATTCAAGTGTCCTCATTGTTATTCAAGTGTCCTCATTGTTATTCAAGTGTCCTCATTGTTTGTTATTCAAGTGTCCTCATTGTTATTCAAGTGTCCTCATTGTTATTCAAGTGTCCTCATTGTTTATTCAAGTGTCCTCATTGTTATTCAAGTGTCCTCATTGTTATTCAAGTGTCCTCATTGTTATTCAAGTGTCCTCATTGTTATTCAAGTGTCCTCATTGTTATTCAAGTGTCCTCATTGTTATTCAAGTGTCCTCATTGTTATTCAAGTGTCCTCATTGTTATTCAAGTGTCCTCATTGTTATTCAAGTGTCCTCATTGTTATTCAAGTGTCCTCATTGTTATTCAAGTGTCCTCATTGTTATTCAAGTGTCCTCATTGTTATTCAAGTGTCCTCATTGTTATTCAAGTGTCCTCATTGTTATTCAAGTGTCCTCATTGTTATTCAAGTGTCCTCATTGTTCTGCTTCCCTCCTTGCGTGTGCAGCTGATGGCAGCAGTGGTGGTGACATTCGTTAGTGTCACAGGCATCATGACCACCCACTCTTTGCCCAACGTCTCACATCCAAACCACTTGTTTCCAAACCAATCACCTCTCAACCACTCACCACCAAGCAGCACCGCGCACCAAGCCTTTCCACTCGCCCCTGCTGCCCCTCACTTGCCCTCACCCTTATTACACCTGCTCTTCCCTGACTTCAACAACACCTCCTCCTCGTTCCCTCTCCTCTCTGACCCAGCATCGGGCCACACCCTCCCTCTCCCCGTTAACACATCCCTCCTCCTCCCACCCCTCCAATCCCTCTCCCTCCCTGCTCTTCCTTCCATATCCCACCACCTCTCCTCCTTGCAAACTGATGGGGCATCAGCTCTGTGGCTCTCGCCAGCTGCTCGCCTGGCAGCATGTCCTAACGCATGGTCAGGCACATGGTCAGGTGTTCTATCAGGTGTTCTATCAGGTGCTGCATCCAGTGCACGGGCACGTGTGTTGCTGAAGGGTCTGAGCAGTGTGCCAGTGATACGCAGCATCATCACTGCACTGCAGTCGCTGCTCTCACTCGCCCTCTCCGCCCCTCGCCTCCTCTTTGAAAGTGCCACAACCACAACAGCAGCGGTCTCGCCTGGCTTGGTAAGTGTGCGCGCAGCAGTGCCGTCTGCACTGGTGCATCATGCCTCTCTACACGACTCACATATTCTGTCTGGCACTGCCTGTTGATTACTTCAATGTCACACGCCTGTACTCACACCAGCAATCACACCATCAAGGAAGGAACGAACTGATTCTGCCATGCTCTGTGTGTATGTTCTGCTCCTGCGCATCTCCCTTTCTTCTCCCTTCCGGCACACTGTGTGGTACTCATCCCCATCCCCCATTGCCCCAGCTAGGCCTGGCGCTAACATACGCGCTACCCATGGTATCGCTCCTCGCTACAGTTCCAAGTCTCTCTCTCTCATGTGTCATTCCCATCCCCAACCTTCGTCTCCTCCCGTTCCCCAGCTGGGTCTGGCGTTGGCATATGCGCTGCCCATAGTGTCGCTGCTCAACGGCACACTCACCTCCCTTGCTGACACGGAGAAGGACATGGTGGCAGTGGAGCGCGTGCTGGAGGTGAGGAGGGGGGCACTTGGGGGATGTGGTTGAGGAGACGAGGGGGTTGGGAGGGGAAGGGGGCGAGTTGGCCTGTGCTGCCCTGAGGTGGGGGAAAGAAGGGAATATTTGGAGGTAGGGTGTGAGGGGACGAGGAGACTGGGAGCGTGCTGTCACAGTGGGCTGCTCTCAACACAACACGCTTACTTGCCTCACCGGCACGGAGAAGGACATGGTGGCAGTGGAGCGCGTGCTGGAGGTGAGTGAGGTGAGTGAGAGGGGCAATGGTGTGAGTGTGGGAGGGAGGAAGAAGCGTTGCATGAAGCCCCAGGTGCAGCAGGGCGTTGTACCCTCGCCTCCTGCTGCAGGCTCGCCTCCCCCCCACGCCCCTCCCCTTAACCCTTGCCCCCGTTGCAACTCTGCTGGCCTTTGCCGGTACTCGCTAACCTCCCTCCATCCTTCTTCGCCCTTCCATCCCAGATTCATTTCCCCATTAACTCTCCCATTCCCTCCCGCGCCCGCCTCGCAGTACCTGGATCTGCAACACGAGCCAGACGCCCCTCCACTGAGCCCCCTCCCTGGCGCAAAAGGGCAGAATGGCGAGGGTGCGTGGAAGGACGCACATGCAGAAGGAGAAGGGATTGCGGTTGCAGGAGGAGGGGAGCGGGGGGAGTGGCCGAAGGAGGGGCGGGTGGAGTTCAGGCATGTGAGCATGGCGTACCGGGTGGGGCTGCCTCTTGTGCTCTCAGACGTCTCCTTTCTCATTCCCGGCGGCTCTCAGGTGGGATGGCTTGGGGTTAAGGTCTTCAGGTGAAGCATCTCTTGTGCCAGTCAGTCGTGCTCCAATAGCCATGCTCAGCTAAACACATGCTCACGCGAAAGATGGCTAGGTTTATGTTTTTCAGATGAAATCTGCTCGGGTGAAGCATACTCAGATGACTTGTGCTCAGGCTGAGCATGCTTGCCTGTTGGGCTCCTGGAAGTGCATGATCAGTTTCCAGCCCATCGTCTGCTCCTTTTCTTTTATCCTGTGTTCTACTACCGTGTGCTTTCTTCTCTGTACGGCTCCGTACTTCTCTGCATGCCAGGTGGGCATAGCGGGCCGCACTGGCGCAGGCAAGTCGTCCGTACTGGCCGCCCTCTTCCGCCTGCGACCCCTCAGCCTGCCCTCTGCCACCACCACCACAGCCATCACCAGCACCACCACCAGTAGCAGCACTGCACACATGCATGAGAGCAGCAGAGCGAGTGGCATATTCATTGATGGTGTCGACACCGCCCATGTCAGCCTCTCCTGCCTGCGCACTGCCCTCGCCATCATTCCCCAGACACCACTCATCTTCCACGCCCCCATCCGGTACGACCAGGCTGAGTCAGGCGAGTAATACACTTGGCAGGTGCTGCAAGTGTGCCGTCGTGCCAAGCGCCTTGTCAACGACCGGCTAACCTTCGTTTTTCACAAAGTTTCTCTCGCTTTCTCCTTTCCCTGTGCACTGTCAACTTTAGCTTGTGAGTCAATTCCTCCTCTGATGCTTCCTCTCTTCACACCTTACGTTGTTTCATGGCCTGCTGTGCCAGAGACAATCTGGATCCCGAGGGAAAGCATGCTGATGTGGCATTGTGGGATGCCGTGAGGAAGTGCCACCTGGGTGCAGCAGTGGGGCGGCTGGGAGGGCTGGATGCCATGGTGGGTGGGGCGGCAGGGGGGCTTTCACTAGGAGAGAGACAGCTGCTGTGCCTGGCTCGAGTGATGCTAAGAAAATCCAAGGTATGGCAAACATCTGGCATGTGGATGTGAATGCCCTTCTTTTTTCGTTTCTTCTGTTAGTGCCCGTTTTCTCTTACAAATTTCGTCTGCTGGTTCCCTGCAGGTGCTCTGTTTGGATGAGTGCACGGCCAACATTGATGCTGCCACTAGTGCACTCATGCATGCCACTATAGCTCGGGAGTTCCATGGCGTCACCACCATTACCGTTGCGCACCGAGTCTCCTCACTGCTCTCCCTCCCACGTGTCCTCATCTTTGAGGCTGGGGCCCTTGTATGTACAAGCGATGCTGCTATAACATGACCTGTTTGTCACCCTTGGCATGTTGCAGTCGTTGGGCTTACTAATAAGCTGTTGCATTTGTGCTTGACTGCCGCAGGTTGAAGATGGTGATCCTAAAAGCCTCTTGCTTAACTCAGACTCCAAGTTCTCATTGCTGTTTAGAGCATCCATGTGACATTTCCAACCAGTGATGTCTCTGTCAAAATGTTATATATCTTACTTTGTGTAGGCTATAGTGGGGTAGCCCATAAGGGGTACAACCCAATTCGGGTTAGTACTTGTACCCAACTCTTTCATAGTTCATTCATCCTTGTTCATTCTTTTGACATGGTTTCAGAGCAGGTCCTTCGCTAGGACCGTTTTTTTTCCTTGGGCCCACCACAGCGCTATCCCGCTAGCCGCCCTCTGCAGCCCTCGTGCTGCCCCTACTGCACGTCGTGACCCGTCGACCCCTAGGCCAGGCCCCTAGGCACCGGCCCGTAGCCCGTCGCCCGTAGGCCCATCACCACTAGGCCCGTCGCCCCGGCCCGTCGACACCCAGCCCGTCGCCATAGGCCCGTCGCCCCGGCCCGTCGCCGCTAGGCCCGTCGCCCTAGGCCCGTCGCCCCGGCCCGTCGCCCCTAGGCCGGCCCGTTGCCCCCCCTAGCCCGGCCCGACGCCCCTAGCCCGGCCCGTCGCCACTAGGCCAGTCGCTCCGGCCCGTCGCCCCTAGGCCCGTCGCCCCGGCCCGTCACCCCGGCCCGTCGCCCCTAGGCCCGTCGCCCCTAGGCCGGCCCGTCGCCCCTAGCCCGGCCCGTAGGCCCGTCGCCCCTAGCCCGGCCCGTCGCCCCTAGCCCACGCGCCCCGGCCCGTCGCCCGACGCCCCTAGGCCCGCGCCCGTCGCCCCTAGCCCCGGCCTGTCGCCCGACTTCCCTACGCCCCGGCCCGTCGCCAGTCGCCCCTAGGCCCGCGCCCCTAGGCCCGTCGCCCCTAGGCCGGCCCGTCGCCCCTCGCCCGGCCCGTCGCCCTTAGCCCACGCGCCCCGGCCCGTCGACCGACGCCCCTACGCCCGCGAACGACGCCCCTAGGCCCGCGCCCGTCGCCCCTAGCCCCGGCCCGACAGTCGACCCCAGGCCCCGCGAGCCGCCCCTTCCGGCCCGCCCCTCGACCCTGCAGCTCGCGAGCCGCCCTTGCAGCCCCGCACGCCGCCCCTGGTGGCCCTCTAGCCACCCCTGCTGCTCTGCTAGCCACCCCTTGCGGCCCTCCCATAGCCTCTTGCTGCTGCCTGCCCTCTGCTCTGTGCTGCCCTGCTTCTCCCCGCTCTGCATGCTGCACCGCTATGGCTTCGCTTCGGTTTCTCGCATTCGATCATGAGGGCAGACCGATTCAGTTTGACACGTGGCTCGACGACCTGCAGCTGTACCTACTGAGCGACTCTAGGGACAGTGTTTCGTTGTTTGACCACACGTCTCGCGCTGCTCCCGCCCCTCCTGCCACAGCTGACAGTGCGACTCGCTCATAGTGGCTTACTCGCGACGCTGCTGCCCGCTTAGCCATTCGCAACCACCTGCCGTTAGCCGAATGCGCTCACTTCGGACAACACAGGATAGCACAGGCACTGTACGATGCTGTCGTAGCTCGCTACTCTTCGCCTGCCACTGCTGCTCTAGGCCGCCTGCTACTGCCCTACCTGTTCCCCGAGCTGTCCGCCTTTGCCACAGTCGAGGACCTGGTTTCCCACCTTCGCGCTAGCGATGCTCGCTACCGCGCTGCCGCCCCCGCTGAGTTCCTTGACAGGAACCAGCCCCCGATGTTCATCACTCTCTACTTTATAGTCACCCGCCTCCCTGACTCTCTTCGCTCTGTCAGGGACCACTTTCTCTCTCTTGACCCCACAGTCCTCACTGTTGACCTACTCGAGCAGCACCTCCTTGCAGCTGAGACTAGTGTAGTCGCTGTAGGTGTTGCTCGTGGCACTCCGTGCACGCCCTTCTTTGAGGGGTGCTCCCCCTCCCCCCTTGCCCCCTCCTATGCCTCTGTTGCTGCTGTTGACGTCCTTGGTGCTGAGGATGTCGGGGCTGCTTTTGCTAGTGCGAAGCGCCGCAGCATCAAGGGCAAGGGTGACAGGGGTGGTGGAGGTGGCAGCGGGAGTGGTGGTGGGGGTAGCAATGGAGGTAGTGGAGGCAGTGGAGGTGGTGGCAGCGGTGGGAGTGGTGGCGGGAGTAGGGGCGTTGGTGGCGGCGGTGGAGGCAGCGGTGGGAGTGGCGGTAGTGGCAGCGGTGGGAGTGGTGGCGGTAGGACTGAAGCTCAGCGTGGAGGTTCTGGAGGAGGCCAGAGGCAGCGGCAGCAGCGTCGGAGCGAGACCCCGTCGCCCCAGAAGCTTCGTGAGTGGTTGTTTCAGCGTGGAGCATCTGGGGGTAGTGTGAGCTGCTCGTATGTCATTCGCACGGGTGACCGTGCTGGTCAGGCATGCGGGAAGCCTCATACTCAGCACCGCTGCTTCTCCCGCCTCGACGACGCTTGGCGTGCTAAGTTTGGTGATGATGTCGAGCGCCCCTACTGGGCAGAGCTGCTTAGGTCTGGAGTTGCGATCTTTGACCTAGACTATGATGCTATTCTTTCTGCTATGTATGCTTTGTCTGCTAGTGCTGAGGGTGACTGTTACCGGTGTGTGCCGCCTGTCCCAGGTATAGAGGCTGCTGCTCTAGGTGCTAGTGAGTCTTCTCTCCCTGGTACTGCGCCTGCTAAGGCCTTGCACACCTTCACGCTGGACTCAGGTGCCTCACGCTGTTTCTTTCGTGACAGTACCACCCTCACTCCTCTCCCTGCACCTGTCCCGGTCAGACTGGCTAACCCCTCTGGGGGCCCAGTCGTTGCCCTTCCTCCATTGTTCTCCCGTGTCCGGTGGTTCCGTCTGGCTCACTATCAGGTCTTCACCTCCCCTCGTTCTCTACGAACTTGGTGAGTACAGCTGCCCTCCAGGACTTGATGGTCACTACCACCACTCCTGGGGGTCAGCGTGTGTCGATCTGCACGTGTACACGGACGGGTCGTCACCTGGTCATGTTCACTTGTCGGCCAGGGTCGAGTCTGTACACACTGGCTACCGAGCCTCCTCAAGTAGCTGCGTCTGCCCATGTGTCTGCGTTAGGTCAGGTAGCACCCCCTTGCTCGTGTCACCTCCTGTCGCACCAGACTCTCCTCTGGCACCATCGCATTGGACACCCCTCCTTGCCACGCCTGCGTGGCATGCAATCCCGCCTCCTTGTCTCTGGTCTTCCTAGGTCTCTGCCTCCTCTCCCGCCCTCGCCGGCCCCGCCCTGCCTTCCTTGCGTCGAGGGGTGGCAGCGCGCCGCTCCTCACTCCTCCTCGTTTCCCCCGACGACTGCTCCCCTGCAGACTCTCCACATGGACGTGTGGGACCCAGCCCGCGTCAGTGGACAGGGCCGCGAGCGCTACTTTCTGCTGGTCGTTGACGACTACACGCGGTATACCACGGTCTTCCCCTTGCGCAGCAAGGGTCAGGTCGTTGATGCCTTGATCCCTTGGATCCGTGCAGTATGTCTCTAGCTCCGCGAGCGGTTCCACCAAGACCTTCCTGACCTGCGTCTGCACTCTGACCGAGGTGGTGAGTTCTCCTCCGACCTCTTGCGGGACTTTTGTCGTGGGGAGGGCATTCTCCAGTCGTTCACGCTTCCGGCCTCACTGCAGAAAAATGGGATTGCTGAGCGCCGCATTGGCTTAGTCATGGAGGTCGCTCGTACCTCCATGATCCATGCGGTTGCTCCCCATTTTCTGTGGCCGTTTGTGGTCCGGTACGCTGCGCATCAGCTCAACCTCTGGCCCCGTGTCTCCTTGCCGGAGACCTCGCCCACACTGCGTTGGACGGGGGAGGTTGGCGATGCGTCGGTGTTCCGGGTCTGGGGCTCTCGTGCCTTTGTTCGCGATACGTCCGCGGACAAGCTCTCCGCGCGTGCTATCCCCTGCATCTTCCTTGGCTTTCCCCCTGACGCGCCTGGCTGGTAGTTTTACCACCCCACCTCGCGCCGTGTCTTCCCCTCTCAGGACGTCACGTTTGACAAGTTGGTTCCCTTTTACCGTCTCTTCCCCTACCGCTCTGCACCTCCCCCGCCCCCGCCGCTCTTCCTTCCTCCTGGTCCCCCTCCGGTATACCCCCTCCCGCCCCAGGGTCCTGCTCCCTCAGGTGTGTCTCAGGTAGACCCTCCCCCTGGTATTGTGCCTGTTGAGGTAGCTGGCGACTCAGGTGCTGCTCGAGGTGCTGCGTCTAGGGGTGTGGAGCCTGGGGGTGCAGAGCCTGGGGGTGCGGAGCCTGGGGGTGTTGAGCCTGGGGGTGCTGAGTCTGAGGGTGCAGGGTCTAGGGGTGCTGAGCCTGGGGGTGCGGAGCCTGGGGGTTTGGAGCCTTGGGGTGTTGAGCCTGGGGGTGCTGAGTCTGAGGGTGCAGGGTCTGGGGGTGCTGAGTCTCGGGGTCCTGCTTCGTCTGGAGGTCCTACTGGTGCTTCGCCGCGACTGTCTCCCCGACCGGAGCCTCTCTCCCCGCAGCAGCTTCGTGAGTGGCTTGTTCGGCGCGCACGCCTTCGTGAGCTGCCGGAGCTGGAGCCACTGGAGACACTGGAGCTGGAGGTGCTGGCGTTACTGCTAGAGCTGGTGGTACTGGAGGTACTGAGGCTGCTGGTCCTGGAGGTGCTCGTACCGGGGGTACTGGAGCTGCCGGGACTGGTGGTGTTGGAGGAGCTGGAGCAGGAGACCCTACGGAGCCGGGAGCTGCTGAGTTTGGAGGCGCTGGAGCTGGAGGACCTGGCGCTGGTGGCGCTGGAGCTGGAGGAGCTGGAGCTGGTGGCACTGGCGCAGGAGGCGCTGGAGCTGGAGGAGCTGGAGCTGTTGACCCTGGAGCTGGAGGTGCTGGAGCTGGGGGTGCTGGTGGTACTGGTGCTGGAGGCACTGTGCGGCCGCGACCAAACTTCGTTCACCTGCTTCAGCAGGTTCTTGGTGTCCCCTCTTCTACTGCCCTTACTCCTCCCCTA